ATAAAACATCATAGGTACAGTGACACATGAGACACTTGAAACACTGCCAAGTGATAACTGTGTCACTGTGATTTGTGGCGTGCCAAGTCACATTGCGAAGCAGTGACAGCACCCTATAGTGTCTCTATCACAACTACTCAATCTGCCATTGGAGCACAAAAGTAGCCATGGACAATGTGCAAATGAATAAATGTGGCTGTGTTCCAAAAAGACATTATTTATGGACACTGAAATTTGAAATTCATGTCATTTTCATGCATCATGAAATATTATTTTTCTTTTCCTTTGTTTCAACTATTAGAATATGTAAAAAAAAAATTTAGCTTGAAGGACCTGTTAAAAACAGATGGCAGGCCATAATTTGGTAAATGGAAGATTGTTTAAAGATGAAGCCTAGAAAATAGCCACTGGGCCAGGCATGGTGGCTCACGCCTGTAATCCCAGCACTTTGGGAGACTGAGGCAGCAAAATCGCTTGAACCCAGGGGGCGGAGGTGGCAGTGAGCTGGGATCAAGCCACTGCACACTTCTCAAAAAAAAAAAACAAAAACCACTGCAACTCTCAGTTATTTGTTGAACTCAGAGGAAGCAGTTGGACAATGTGAGAAAAACTGCAGATATAAGTAGATTGAGTGGTGAATTGAAGGTGAAAGAACGAATATGGAAAGTATAAGCCATCTTTTTGCAAAATATGGCTCTAAAAAGGAGGAAAGAAATGATGTAATTTAAGAGAAGACTGTTGGTTAAAATAGGTGCAACTTGATCATGAGCACTTAAATCTCCGTTTCTTCTTCCTTCTTTAATAAGGAAAATAATAGCTATCTTGATGTTCCTTAGAACAGTCAAATGAGATAAAGTATGTTTTAAAGGTACCAGCATGATGCCTAGCATATAGTAGGTTCTCAAAAGTTAATTAATAAATATTCTTATATACTTCTTATTTGCTTCGTGAAAAACAAGAGTTTATTGCTTCCCATGTAGCTTTGTTATTTAGTTCTTGAACTATTTTTTTTTTAAATCAAGGTTGTATTCCCTTAGTGAGGTGCTTTGAAAGTTGTTAAATAAATCAGAAGTTAACTGATTGGTCAGGATACTATATTACAATTTTAATAATTTGGATTTTGTAATTTCCCCAACTTTCCGCCTGCTAGACTGAATTCTGATCTTTTTAGTCTGTCTTCACATGGGAACCACTTCATCCTTTCTGTCATTTTCAACCACTTCATCCTTTCTGTCATGTTTAAAATCATACTAAAATTAGACAAATAATTATACAAATGAATCATACAAATCATACACTGGTTTGGTATATTAGTGGGCTTATATTTATTTTTATTACTTTTTTAATATAACTTTTTTTCTGTAAGTCATACCTAGAGTTACCACATGACCCAGAAATTCCGCTCCTAGGTATATACCCCAAGAGAAGTGAAAACATATGCCCATGCAGAAACCTGTGTGTGAGTGTTCACAGCAGCCTTATCATAATAGCCCCAAAGGGGAAATAACCTAAATATTCAGCAACTGATGAATAGATAAATAAAATGTGTATATCTATATGGTGGAATTTCATTTGGCCATAAGAATACGTGAGGTACTGATACAGGCTATAGAATGAATAAAACTTGAAAATATTTTGCTAAGCTTGAGAAGCTCATCACAAAGACCACTTATTGAATGATTCCATTTACATGAAATGTCCAGAATAGACAAAATGATAAGGACAGGAAGTAGGTTATTGGTTGCCTAGGACTCGGGGGTGAGGATTAGGGGAGAAATACCTATTGGAGTTTCACTATGGGTCGATGCTTTATATTCTGTGTCTGATAATCTGGTATCTGGAGTCCCTGTGGATGTGTCTTTTGAATGTTGTTTTGCTAGAGGGATATTTTCTCCTGCATCTGTCTGTATTTGACTGTGTGGAGGACTCTGTATTTGAGATTTTATTGTCAGAAATAATTTGAAGCCTAGATGGATGTTACATTTTTTCGAAAAAGAATTTTGCTTATTTTTTTCAGGCACTTGGGAATGCCAGCAATCAGGTATCACCGTTTTTTGTTTGTTTTTTTGAGCAGGAATGAAAGTTTATTAAACAGCTTTAGAGCAAGAATGAACAGAAAGTAAAGTACACTTGGAAGAGGGCCAAGCGGACATCTTGGAGGTCAAGCGCAATCAGGTATCATCCAATCCTAGGCTAGAGGTTTTCTGGGCTACCTGAAAAATTTGAATGGCACTGGGTAGCAGACCGCAAGGGCTGGTTTACTTCCACTTCACCTCTAGTTCCTGGGTACGGTCAGCGCCGTGTCAAGCCACAGTGGAGCCCGAGGCAAAAGAAGCATCAGTAATACTGACCTTGTCTTCATTTAACATTTTGATATTTTGTTCATCATGGATTTTTTCATTAATTTTGATCTTTAAAAATAGTGCATTAATACTTATCTAGATTACTGAGGGTTTTTTTGGTCCTCCTAAATTTTGTGGACATGGTGAATACTTCACTGACCTCACACTACTTCCAGCCTTGGTATCTGCCTTGGGATTTGTACACCCTGGGCAGTTTGAAGAGAACAGTTGTGGTTCCCTCCAACTTCCTATAAAATCCCATGAAGGTTTCCTCCTTTATGATACCATTTATAATTAACTATAAGACTTCCACAGGATTGGGGGCCAATACATCACATTCAGTGGGCTTATCAGACTACTTTTCATCCTCAAAGTAATGGGTTAATAGAAAATTGGAAGGAATAAAACCACGTGCTCATGCCTGTAAATCCAAGCACTTTGGGAGGCTGAGGTGGGCGGATCACATGAGGTAAAATTATTATTTTAGAAGCTAATACAACTTATAATATTGATATTAACAATCAAATATATTGGGATATTGAACTAAATTCCCTTCAGCATATTATCCCTATGGAGCAGGATTGACCTGAAGCATTATTTTGACTTCAGCAACAATAATTATAGTTTATAATCACTCAACAGATACACACTACAAAGTACACACTGCTACAGATTAGGTAGGCAAATGACTTGCTGTAAAGTTAATTCAAATATATGAGAAAGCATATGCTAGAATTTTTGGTTGGTTCAGCCATCTGTAGAAGTCCAAACCAACTGGTTATTAAAAATGTGTGGAATCTGTATATACACTTTGATAATCTATTTGGTTATATGATATTGCAAGACAAGTGGTAGCTCTCCAACTAGGAGTGATCATTTTGTCACGAGAAGGCCTTGATCACGGATCAGGGACGTAGACCACACTGTGGATTGTTTTGAGCATGACTATTTTCTGAGGCAGAAACTCCCTCCCACACACACACAGCGGTGGTGGTGCTGGAGTTACAAGAAAGACAATTGATGTAGCAAATTCTAAAAAACGAGAAAGATTAGGATCAAAGGATGGTTGTGTGGATTAGACTTGGTCAGAAGGTTCACCTCTTCTTCTGTAGCAGTGAGAGAAGTGACCCTTTATACAGGGTTGAGAAGCAAATGCATGCAATGAGATGAAGGCCTGATTTTTCTCTCTGGAAGCTTAGGCAGTATAGTAATTCCTTCGTCCAAAGTTTCACTTTCAGCAGTTTCAGTTCCCAGTGGTCAACCATGGTCCAAAAATATTAAATAGAAAAATCCAGAAATAAATAATTCATAAGTTTTAAATTGCACGCTGTTCTGAGCTGCGTGATGTAAATCTTGCACTGGCCCACTCCACTCCCTCCACCTGAGACGTGAATCCTCCCGTCCAGCATATCACACTGTATACACCACCCGTCCTTCAGTCGCTTAGCAGCCACCTCGTTATCAAACCACAGTCCTGGTATTCAAGTAACCTTATTTTACTGAATAATGACTCAAATGCAAGTCTTGATGCTGGCCATTCGGACATACCAAAGAAAAGCCTAAGTGGCTTTCTTTAAGGGAAAGGTGAAAGTTCTCAACAAGAAAAGAAAAAGTTGCATGTTGAGGTTGCTGAGATCCATGGTAAGAACGAATCTCCTATCTGTGAAGTTGTGATAAAGGAAAAAGAAATTCATGCTAGTTTTGCTGTCGCACTACACATGGCAAAGGTTATGGCCACTGTGCGTTGATAAGTGCTTAGTTAAGGTGGAAAAGGCATTACATTTTTGTTTGCAAGACATGAACAGAAAACGTTCCCGACTGACAGCCATGTGTTGCACCAGATTAACTTTATCATAGGTCTGCATGTATAAGAAAAGGCATAGTACACACAGGGTTTGGTACTACCCATAGTTTCAGGCATTCACCGGGGATCTTGGAACATATCCCCTGAGGATAAGGGAGAACTACTTACTGGAAAGGAAAGGAGAAAGAAACTTAACCAGAATAGGCAAATGTATATAAACCTATAGGGGATTGTAAACTGAAGAAACTAATGCCTGATGGTCTCTATTTCCTCTCTGAAAAATAAAACAATATGATCAGCTAAGAAAATGTAGTGAAGGTTTGGAATAGCTACTGAGGAGGACACAGAGAACTGTGTTGCAGAATTGTCGGGTAGTATTTAGGCCTGCAAATATATACCCTAATTTGCATCAATCTACACAACTGGATAGATTTCTCAAGCAGGATTCAGTCCATGTATAGGACTAATAGGTGTTTCTATAATGGATGTAAAAGGAACACCAGGATGTAAAGGAGTTAAAGGTGTTAGTAAGGGTATGGTTGAAACTTGTGACTCATTTCAAAGAACACAATCTATGCAGATTTTTCACAAAAAACACATTCAGCAACTTAAGAACAGAGACTCTTCCTTTCCGGGGCCTAGGATTACTCCTTATACTCAGAAGATATTCAGATATTTTTGAATGAATGAATTAATTAATAAACAAAAATCTGACTTTGCTAAGCATTTCTGAATGTAAGTATTAGGTTTACTTTTGGGATGAATATGTTAATTATTTTAGAGAATTAGAATTCTGTATCAAGAGCCACATTCCTATAATTTACTTACACTAAAATGACTAGACCAATGCCACATTCAGTCTGGAACACAAAAGTTTATTAGAATAAAAATACACATACAGTATCAACACTAAAATTATTTCACAACGCATATAGGTTTTACCTCCATTAGTTTTTTTTAATGCTTATAAAGTCTATGCTCTAAATAATTTGCACATTTGTAAACAAATCTTAGATTACCAAAGATGCAGTATATCTATCAGATATTGAATATCAAAACTTAAGGATGCGAAATCCAATTACACTCAACATTCCTGTAAATTTTTGGAAAGAAAGGAAAAGATTAAAATCACTTGAAATGAGGTAAGATGTATATGAAAAGGTTTTTAGTAGCATATATCACAATGTTGAGATGAGAATATTAAAAACATTCATGGAAAATTCACTTTGATGTTTTGCATAGTCTAGGTTACTTTTTAAAAAACAAAAAATTAAAAATTACCCAAATTCCTTATTAGAAAAAGAGGCAATTACCTGGTTCTACTTAGGATCCGTGTATGTTCTAAGTCTTTCTCTCCTTTATAAAAAAAGAGATTATCTGATTCTATTTAGGATCTGTGTACATTCTAAGTCTTTCTCTCATTTAGAGAAAAACATTCTCAAGTCTATAGAAAAGGAAAAAAAAATTAAGATTAGGACCAACATTTCAAGCTGCCTTTTGGAAAGAAAATTAAAAACAGAGGTAGATGGTTAATTATTAGTGGCCAAGTTACTCAGGTGACTAACTTTTGTCTTGGTACACATTCGCCAAAATTTTATACTTGAAGCCAAATAGTAAATAACTTTAGGAGTAGAGAGTAATACCTAGCAGAAGTTATTTTCTTTATGTCAAAGAAAAGTAATAGAAGCAAACCAGGCTTACAACCCCTGTTAAGGAGATGATTGTTTAAAGCACTACAGTTCATGCACTTTTCAAAGCAGGATAATGAACCTTGCCCCTAAGCTTCTTAGGTGTATCTGAGGCCAGCCACAAGCTCCATCAGGCCTGTTCAGTCCAAGTAGGACTGTAGGGTGCCTCGGCGCCGGACATCGCAGGTCCAGCAGTGGAAGCCTCCTCCCAGGGAATTGGCATTACGAATGTTAACTTTAATGGTAGTGATACCTGCATTGAAAGAGAGATGAAGTCAGTTAGATGGACTAACACGAAGATTCTCCTAGAGAAAGTAGGCCTACAGATTTGGAGGAATCTTGTGGTTCTAATCCTTAAGGATACCCAATCCAGAATAGTCTTTTCCAATTTTATTTTCACCAACTATATTTCATCTGCTAATATAAAATATTCTCCAAAAAGTCAACAAAGAACTCTGAAGTTTTGTTCCATTGACTATTCACAAGTCAATAGATTGAGCAGATCAAATGTTCAAAATGGTCAAGTACTAAAATCTCAAGGCCTTTTAGAATTACACGTTAACTACTTTGTCAGACTGTTTCTAATTTTACCATGTTAATTTAATAGGCAAAGCAAAATTTAGCTGACCTGAAAAGTTGACTCTACATATTCACATATAAGGAGAGTTTACTGATACAGATTAACTTCACCAGGCCACCATAAGGAAACAATGGAACACAGCTGGTGTTTTAATATCTGGGTTTGTATGGTTATACAGGTACCAAAGCAAATCCAGCAATCAGTTTAATCTGGTACCATCTGTAATAACAAGGCTATAATGTGCGTGGTCTATTTAACCAATGGTATTTAGGAAGAATCTGTTGTGTTAGACATAGTGGGGTTTTAAAAAGAAAATCTATTCTTCTTCCTCAAGAAGCTAATTATTTTGAGAGGAGGATAGGCTACAAAGTCACTAAGGGTCCATTGGTATAGCCAGGGAGAGGAAGGTGGCATGAGCCATTCAGAAAGACTTTCCTAGTCGGGCATGGTGGCTCACACCCATAATCCCAATGCTATGGGAGGCAGGGGTGGGTGGATCACTTGAGGTCGGAGTTTGAGACCAGCCTGGCCGAGTCACTCTCTACTAAAAATACAAAATTAGCCAGGCATGGTGGTGCATGCCTGTAATCCCAGCTACTCAGGAGACTGAGGCAGGAGAATCGCTTGAACCCGGGAAGTGTAGGTTGCAGTGAGTCGAGGTTGTGCCACTGCACTACAGCCTGGGTGACACAGCTCTGTCTCAAAACACACACACACACATATACACACACACACACATCTTTATAACAGCTCATATGAAAATCCTTTCCTTCAACATTTTTCTCAATAATACTAGAATCATTGGTCTAAATTTTGAATATCAGGATAAGTAAACTCCTACTTAAGTAAAACCCAGTCCTGCTCTTCAGTTCAAAACTGAATGATTTACTGACACACTTTCTTGCGTTTCACTACTTTGTTAACTATGCTTATTACACATAAAAGTCACTTCTGCATCTGTACGCTTATGAGTCCTTTAAAATATATGATGACAGGACACTTTTAAAGGACCCACAATGATTTCTTATTTGAAGAAGGGCTGGCCAAGCTATCTGCTCACCTGCAAAGGGGTGGTTTTCCACACATGGGCACCAGGAGGCTGGCTAAGTCACATAAGATTTATAAACTTATTGCTAAGGGGGTGTCTCAGGAGTTCAGGATGCATCTCCAACTTTTGAGGGCTACGTGTGTTGAAAATAAAAATACTGACTTTCTGTGAAATAATAACTTGGTGCCTCTAAAAGGAATCAAAATTGAATTAGATAAACCATTTATCAAACCTAGCATGTCATTTCTTTAGTTCTTCTCCTTTAACATTTTCATGTATGACAACATGTTTCATTTGTTGTACATACCCAGCTTTTCAAACATCTTTTGAGTTGGAACTTCATTGGCATCCACCATAACACGTTTTTCATCTAGCATTAAGACATTCATGGAAAGCCATTTGGATGACATCCAGAGTGGATGATCTAAAAACAGCAACAACTGTTAAACCATGTCTGCTATGATTTTGGTTTAAAGCAAAGATTTACAAGTGAAGAATATTAAAGTGACAGCTCAATTCTTTCAGTAGTTCACTTTCCATGTGAACGCTTATTTTAATCTTAAAACAATTTATCTATAAATGCTATGAATCAATCTGTACTCATTATACATTTGAATTTCCCCCTGTTTTCTTTTAAAAGTCATATCTTGGCTGGGCATGGTATAATCCTAGCACTTTGGGAGGCTGAGGCAGGAGGATTCTTTGAGCCCAAGAGTTTAAGACTATTGCCCAGAGATAGTGTCTCACTGGGGAACACAGCAAGACACTATCTCTACAAACAAACAAAAAACTTGCTGGGCATAGTGGCCTGCACTTATAGTCCTAGCTACTTAGAAAGCTGAAGTGGAAAGATCACTTGAGCCCAGGAGTCTGAGGCTGCAGTGAGCTATGAATGCACAACTGCACGTAAGCCTGGGCGACAGAGCAAGACACAGTCTCAAAAAAAAAAAAGTCATATCTTGCTTTATGTGATGTTGTCTTATTCTGTCTTCTCGTCATTTCATTTTCTATGGAAGAAAAAGTTACAAACACAAGTCTCAGCCTTTTGCTGATGCTCAGAGTCCCAAGCACCACTTTACACCTTACTGAGGAAACACATTCTCTAAGCTGCTAACATTTGGGCTGCTCTCTATAGGCAAAAGATCCTTGGTCACTAAAGTCATTATTTTAGTCTATCAGTGTATGAAAGTAAACATACCGTCTGGGATAACTGGTGTTGGAGGAGTAATGATAGTCCATCCTGCTTTCTTGAAAAGATCAATCTGTAAGACCGAAAAAACCCCCCAAAACTGTTAAGTTAACATATACTATTATTATTCTTAGTCTCTAATAACCCTTATCAGTAATAATTCTTTTTGAGAAGCTGTCTTCTCAGCTTCCAAAATAAAGAAATTAAAATTTCTAAACATTTGGGTGATTTTGTCTGAATCCTAATTAAAAATGTACATAAAATCCCCAGATTAAAGTTAAAAAGTAACAGAAATATTGAAGCTTTTAAAGACAGTCTTATACTTTTCTCTGGTTTCAGAGTCTTAAAAAACCAAAGATACTTTCCTTAGAAATTCTCATTTTAAAAATTGAAAAATTTCCTATTTAGTTACAAGAAAACAAAAATGTGACTACGTCAAACCCACAGTCCTTCTACTTCTTGTCCATCATTTTGTATCTAGGACCATGGTATAAAGACGGATGTTAGCTATGCATTCTCAAAGAACCATATTGTCCTTAGTGACCTTTTGCAACTCAGCCATCCCTGTGTTCACATACCCACTAACTATCTGAATAAATGATAATAAAATGAAATGAGTAAGTAGTCATGGTCATCGGGTCTAAAAATAAAAAACAGAAATGAACAGTGACACACCATAATAGTGGTTTTTAAAAGTTGTACTGCAACCTTGCAAATAACAGAAAATCACTCATCACCTAACTAGAAGTAGGGGGCTGTGGACAGAAAGTAGGAGGCTGCAGGTGAAAGGGATAGACCAGCTGCAGTTCAGTGGCTCTGCTTCTCCCTACAAAGCAGCGTTGGCCAAAGGGAGCCTAACCCACTGTAGAGGGAAGACAACCACTGTCCAGTGGCATTGCCCTGCCCATGCAAGGATCATCTTGTCTAAAATTCGCTGCTGTGGAACCACTGTTGCAAGTTACGAGATAATGCCACCCTGTTTGATAAAAATACACACATATGCACAAATCTGAGACTTTGACAACAGCAAGCGGCCAAAGTCTGATGATCCCATACTAATTATTGTGTCAACTACGTATATTTCTGCATGGTGGACATCTTGTAATAAACCATAAGGAATCCAATGTTTGATCATAATAATGTTGAGTACTGCTGAATCTGTCATTCAGAACCATTAGGAACCATGGAAGTGCTTAAAAGAAAAGTGTCAATTATTTTAGTTACTAGATTCTGTTGCTTTTCCAGAGTCCCGAGAAATCTCTTACCTGGTGACATGGTCGGTCAGGGTTGGAAAGCACAGTACCAGGTCCAATGATGTTGAAAGTAGCATCAATATGCATGGGATTGGGATCTTTAAAGGAGATGATATGTACTCTGTAATCTGGAGCAAGATGCCTACGCATCCATTCAATGCCTAGGTAGTTTGTAACCTGAAAACAAAAGAAAGACATACAATCAATAAATATTTGGGTCTATGTCTAGAAAACTAAAAATATTCAAGGTGAAAAAAATTTAGGATGAAAATATTTTAATTTGGAAGTAAAGAATACAATAATATAGTGTGAAATTTCAGAGGCAGCCTGCGTTTACCTGGCTTCTCTGTGCAAAAATATCTTTTCCAGCTCGAATGAAGTCAGCAGCATCAAAGCATGGCTCAAACTCAGTTGTCACAAATTTTCCCTGAGCAGCCAATTTGTGTCTGTCTTCTACAGAGTGGATGGGATAATCCTAATTGGAACAAGAATGAACACAAACAATGCACTGGATCATGAGAAAATTATTTATAAGGCATACAGTACTAAGAAAATTAGTTTAACATCATTTTCCAAAATATTACTACTCAGTTCTAGACTAAAACATGCCTGGGAAAGAAGCGGGTCCATGATAAATAAACCAAAACAACAATAAAACAACAAACTAGCATTACAGTAATTTCCTGATACAATAGTCCTCCTTTACCCATGATTTCACTTTCCATGGTTTCAGTTACCTGCAGTCAACTGTTGTCCCAAAACATTATTTTAAGAGAAACAGAGAGACCACATTCACCTAACTTTTAGTAAAGTATATTTATATAATTGTTCCATTTTCTTATTCATTATTGTTGTTAGTCTTACTGTGCCTACTTTGTAAATTCAACTTCATCATAAGTATGTATATATGTATAGGAAAAAACAAAATATATAGAGTTCAGTATCAGCATCCACTGAGAGTCTGGAACGTATCCCCTAAGGATGAGGGGGCACGATGTACTTAGAAAAAAATGGTACATGCCAGGTGAGATGGCTCATGCCTGTAATCCCAGCACTTTGGGAGGCCAAAGTGGGCAGATCACCTGAGGTCAGGAGTTCGAGACCAGCCTGGCCAACATGGTGAAATCCCGTTTCTACTAAAAATACAAAAATTAGTCAGGCATAGTGGCATGTACCTGTCATCACAGCTACCCAGGAGGCTGAGGCAGGAGAATTGCTGGAACCTGGGAGGTAGAGGCTGCAGTGAGCTGAGGTCATGCCACTGCACTCCAGTCTGGGCAACAGAGCAAGGCTCTGTCTCAAAAAAAAAAAAAAAAAAAAAAAAGTGATACAGAGGCAGTAACTGATTCTGAGACTATTCCATGACCCGTACGGAAAGTAAACAGGATGAAGTCATTCTATTCTTTTAGAAAAGAAATTTGGTCCCGAGCCTAACTCATACCGTAAAATGAGATGCCATGTTTCCCCTGCCAAATTTGATTGGGAGTGGCCAAACTAATTCATTATTTCTGTCTTTAAACCCAGAAGCTATTTTGATTTTCAGGTTTTTTTTCTATAAAAGATCAAATGGTAACTGATTCAATAAGGGACATACATTTCATTTTACTGTGAATTTGGACTGTAGACCAGGTTCTTTTTCTAGAAGAAGAAAAGTGAACTTCAGTCTAGTGACTTTTCTGGTTCCACTAATGAATAGTGGTACACCTGTAGGCAAGTTTTTCCCCCTCTAATGGAATGATACTACAGTATCATTAGGGTTGTTGTGACAAACAAACAGGATTGAGGATGTAAATAAAGGGTTTAACCCAGGACCCAGAAGAAGGTAAGCACCAAAAAGTGTTAGCGATTATTATTACTATCATAGGATCATTTACTCTTATCATATTCATCATAAAATAATCACTTTTTAAAAATAAGATGATGTTTTCTCTTTCTAAAATGCATAATATGTAAAAGGTATCAGAGAATCTCTATCTTACTCTTTGTGGATCAGTTAGAAAAGTTAGTAATAAGCTAGCCTATTATTAGGGACTCACCCGGTCATAAAGCTCATCAGCCATTGTGGGCTTAGGAGCTGTTGTCCACTTGGCGCCACGGTGGAAGTAGTCTTTGATAATTGACCTGTACGCTCGGTACTCAAAGAAGCGTGAACGCCATGCCATGGGAGCCTCGATAATCTCATTGCCCACAACTATCAGGATGTCTCGAGGCATTGCACTGTATAAACCTGTCAGACCAAAAAATTCCATGACAATTTCAGCAGTGTTAATTTCCAAGACAAAAAAGGTCTATATAGGGCCAGGCACAGTGGCTCATGCCTGTAATCCCAGCACTTTGGGAGACCAAGACAGGCGGATCACTTGATCCTGACCGGGCTGGTCAGGAGTTCAAGAGCAGCCTGGCCAACATGGTCAAGCCCCGTCTCTACTAAAAGAATACAAAAAAAATTAGCCAGGCATGGTGGCATGTGCCTGTAATCCTAGCTACTCGGGAGACTGAGGCAAGAGAACCACTTGAACCAGGAGGCCAAGGCTGCAGTGAGCGGAGACTGTACCACCGCACTCCAGCCTGGGCAACAGAGTGAGACTCTGTCTCAAAAAAAAAAAAAAGTCTATATAATATGACCTCTTTTTTTGGTTAAAAAAACTAGTAAAAATACATGTGTATATGTATATATAAAAATGGCAAAAAATTTGAATAATACATACTAGATTGTTCACATGAATTCTATGTGGTGGTAAGAAAGCCAAGAAAAAAAAGAAAAGAAAAAAAGTGAAGGAATAAAGTCCTTGTACAAACAGATGTTGAACCACCAAGCTTTCACCATTTGTAAGCTCCTTTCTTGCTATACAGAAACAGAGCTCTTAAAGGACCATCAGCATCACAAGATAAAAACTGAGCCAAGGATCAATCTAAAACTAGAAACTAGAACAGTGACCTAAGGCACAAGAACAGTCATGCAGCAATGTCAGTTAAAAATAAAATGGAAATGTTTCTATTCCCCTTTTAATTTCTGTTCTTGAGGAAAATTAAATGAATCCACTGTTCTTATGTAAGGAAATGACTATAAAGTTTAGGAAAATTTGTTATTTCACATAGATGGAATGGAGTTTAGAATGTATACATCTTAATCATATCAACATGGACCAAACCATTCCTAAATAAATCTTTAAAGTTTTCAAGAACTAGCAAAGCAAAGGACTCTCCAAGAAATTTTTTGGAGCTTTCCCCCTACACATTAAGAAAGACACTGAAAATTCAGACACTGGCAGTTTAGTTATCTGACATCACTTACCCGTAGACTCAAAATCAGGAGTTTTATACTTCAATGACCAGTCAATGGGGTCAGGCCTCCTCACTGTCACTCCTTCCATTTTTAAAATATTGCACATTTCTTCAATTTCAGTAACAGCCTTTTTCAAATGATCTTTGGGAAAATAATGCCCTCCATGCTTCTGGTAAAATGGCCAGTACTTTTCATATGTGTTGGCCTGGAAGTAGAAGCAAATAAACGCAATACTTACAGGAGAAAAATACAGCTCATGATAGGTTCATAGGCAGTAAACAGCTCTTTGTATAAGGTATTGGAATTGAGACTCCAACCACGCCACGTTCAGTGCTGATTCCTAGCATTGAGCACATATGCTCTCTGGGTAGACACTCAGTATCTGTTGAATGAAGAACTCTAAAACATCTTGATGTTTTGAGGTCTTTTGCTCCTTCTGCCTGAGATCTCATGCCCAACCACTAACAGCATGTTTACCTTCAGACAGGCTTGGAATCCTCTTGGCCAGTTTTTTTTTTTGCCACACTTTGCAGGCAAAACAGGACATAGCACTTCTATCAGAGAGCCTCAATAAAACGGAACAAGAGAACACACAAACTAGCATAAGAGAATAAAAGCACTTATACTAAGCCAAAACCATGGGTTATCCATGCATCTCAGAATTCTGTCTGGAAAACAGCACCTCAAGATATTCTGTGAAGGGAAAAAAGATATTTAGACCCTGTTAAGATCAGGAATATACTTTCAAATATGCTTTATTTCTCTTTAAACCCCATCATTGGTCAGGCATGGTGGCTCAGCCTGTAATCCCAGCAATTTGGGAGGCTGAGGCGGGCAGATAGCTTGAGGTCAGGAGTTCGAGACCAGCCTGGCCAACATGGCAAAATCCCATTTCTACTAAAAATTCAAAAATTAGCCAGGCCTGGTGGCATGTGCCTATAGTCACAGCTATTTCAGAGGCCAAGGCAGGAGAACTGCTTGAACACAGGAGGCAGAGGTTGCAGTGAGCTGAGATCGTGCCACAGCACTCCAGCCTGGGCAACAGAGCGAGGCTCTGTCTCAAAAAAAGAAAGGAAAAGAAAGAAAAGAAAAGAAAAGAAGGAAGGAAGGAAGGAAAGAAAAGGAAGGAAGGAAGGAAGGAAGGAAGGAAGGAAGGAAGGAAGGAAG